CGCAAGTTAATGACAGAATGTATCAACCACTTCACTTACTTGACAAGTTGCATCAGCTGGCATAAACAGGCTGGTTGCTAACGAAACCTCAGCTAGGATACCGAAAGCCTCTTTGGCATTTGCCAGCTGGAGTCACATGCTTGGCCCCAAAAGGCGAGATATACAACTGTTTACCAAAGGACGATCATACTGACTTGCAGTCTGTCCTCTACTGCTGCACGGCTGAAAGACATGGCAGTTAAAAGTAGATATGTAGCGATTACTGGGTTTTGATCACATATGTCTTTGTAACTGCCTAACCGGCGTTACTGAAATGATTGGTAGTTGAGAACTCTTGGTGACATGACTGGAAATCGGTCACAATAACGAAGATGAATCCACTCTTTGGCATCTTATAAAGCTTCATCATTTGCACTTACCTTTATCCTCAGATTCTCTATTCTCTTATACTACTTTATCTACCTCGGTATCACTTTTTTTCTATCCACTTGTTCTTTGTTTACTACTGTGAAGTGTGATAACTTGAACCGATGGACTTGTGTGCGAGGTTCTACGTCAATTTTTTCTTTATCACCTGGTGGATCGTTATCATAAGGCTTTTGCATTAAATGATCGGGAAAAACCTATCAAAGTTTAAATAATCAATTTCCACTTAGTTTTCTAGTGTGCGCCTAAACATATTTAGCAATCTACCCTAAACTTGGTATTAAGGCGGAGGTTATTATGAATATGAATCGCGTTTGCTGCTTTGTGATAATTGTCCAGCTACCTTATTGCTGACATATCAATAAGTTGGTTTCGAATGAAATCATTAATTTACCAACTATAACCACATTTTCTTCCATACAATTGATTCCCTTTAAAAGTTGTGGCAAAGACAGAACAACAAATTTCGTACAATACGATCAATTCATTGTATTTCATCACCTTCTTTTCAACTGCATACAGGCCATAAAGATACAGATTAGGGAGGTTCAAATGAAATAATTTGTGATTCATAAGTAAAATCCATCGAAATTCTCTCTTCAGTGAGCTTTGTGATATACTTCCTATACTCATTGAGTACCCTTAACGCAATTTGATGCTCAGAAGGTTTTAGTAATGTGAAAATTCCCATTCGATACTGGGTGATGATTGAAGGTGACGTCGTAGCTCAGTTGATGGAGCATCGTGCCGGAAACCAGGTAGTCGCTGGTTCTAATCCGGCCGCGATCCAAATTTTCATTTCACCTTCAATCATCACCCAGTATCGATACCAGTCTGCCAAATCAGATAGTCAAAATGATAAAATTTTGTACGTTCAGAAAACAAACAATGTGACCGGAGAAATATTTCTTTTCAAATAGTTTTTCATTGGTGGCTATACACCAACATATTGCATTTCCAAAATATAAAATTATATACCAATCTGGTGGTGATAAAAGTTTCTTTTGGAAGGCCCCAGATTTGCATAAAACACTGTTTATTAATCTAAACATTTTTTTCTAAATTGTCGTTTTAACGCCATTTGCTACCATAAGACCAGCAGTTTATTTTCTGCCCCCATTTTCAAGGTAATTCGCTTATTGGTTAATACTCACTTTTACTATGTCAATGCCTCAATTTTTTGACAAGGTCATATCTGATGTGCATACAAACACATGTCTGGGTTATTTGATTATTATTCTCGGAGAAATAGACTCTCATCCAGCTCAGTCTTCTTCTTTATTCACTCCGAGTTGGAGTCGGTGGGTCTTGCGTACCAAGCTGTTAGTTAAGTATTATAAACACTAGGAATATATAGCAGATTTATAATTGGCTATCAATCTCAAAGCATCAAAGGGGTGTTTAGTATTCAGTGCGATTAAAGCTGTAACTGCGGTTCAGAATAATTAAGTGGTAAAATTTATGAAATTTTAAACAGATTTGAAACAGTTAGTCCGACTGATAAATTTGAACGTAATGAGAAGACGGTGATTATCTGAAACATATAATGTATTAGCGCTATACATTTCGAACAACCTGATCACACATACACTTGTTGAATAATTTATATAAAACTCAGAGAAGTTAATTAAGCCAATGGAGTTATAATTAAGAAATATAACAAGGCCAGAACGAAAGCAAGAGAGGAGAAATATAATAAAAAGTTGAGTCACCTCCACTATTAGTATAAAGAGTTGAACTTAATACTACCAGGGTAGATTTAATGTGATTAAAAATTGTTTCTGAATACATAGAGGGGATTTGAATTTAGGGAGAGCGAATGCTTCGATAAATCTAAGTATTCGTCCTTGACCATATATACACAGTCCAGCAAAAGCTGTCTTCATATCAGTCTTATTATCAGTTCCTACTATGTTTTGTCATCGATTAGGAAAGACATTTATTGCCTGCACTTATTAAACTGTTAAAGGTCATTTGTTTCTAGAGCTATTTAGGGACATGTTCAACCGTTCTTAACTGCACGTCACGATTGCCACTCCCTATGTATGTGTCATCACATACATGTAAATTGATATACACAATGGGATATGTTGCACCCATTCATATGCTGTTTAGGTTTGTGTTGAAGCATGGGCTTTGTCTTCTCTACGAAGATGACTTTGGCCACGTAGTATGTCCCGCTAACAGCTGACTTGAGCCTTTTCTTCAAGATAAGGATATTCGATTCACCCCTGTATGGCAGGCAATGTGAGATACACATTTTCCTTAGGGATAGGATATTGATGAATCGATTTCAATGTTATGCCGGTTTCGCATCTGTTGATAAATTTAAATCGATATTCATTTTTCACTAATATAGTCGTCAGCAATTTTGCTTGTTTCTTTTTTATCATCTGTGCAGAAACGATGAACTATATTAAATAAACACCTAAACCACGTTTGTAGTGGGCTGGACAGTAACTATGGGAACTATGGTATTGCCCTGTCCAAGTCAGCTTTCTGAGGATAAACATTCTGATTGAGCCATTCCCTCTTCCACTAGTCGGTATGTTTAAAATGGTAGTTTGTCATCCACTTCTTCTTCATTAGTGAGGCTAATGTGCATAATTCATTTTACCTAATAACCACATTGCCTCCTCACGTTTTCCACAAATAACAAAAATGCCATCCATATATCTCTTATAAAACCAAGCTTTTCTAATCGACCCGTAGGCTAACTTTCCGACGTATGACATATACACATCAGGGGACCTAAAGGACTCCTCATGGTGACAACACCAATCCGTCGGAAATATTTGACATCATCATTACATAATAATAATGTATTTGAGGGTTGTAAGGCGAATGGGGAGTAGAAGATTTCTAGAAGAAACATGCTCATAAAGGATATGGTACATTAGTGAATAAAGAATTCACACCAAAGGAATCTACATTCCTATTCTTGATATATCATTTAGTTGATCAACAATTTCAAATGTATCTTTCAAGGCAAACTTGGCTTCTGGCTTCTAATATAATCCAAGAGTTTTGCCAGACACTTCGCTAGTTTATGTGTGGGTGGCTGAAACACAGACAATATTGAACGGAGTGGATTATTGGCTTTATGTATCTTGGGAATTCCGTATTGGTGTGGATAATCAGATCCTATGGGTTTCAGGTAGATAAAATCCTCTTTGTTGGTAGCATTCACATTGAGTAGTTTTAGTAGGATAGAATCTCCTCTTCCTTCCAATTTACATATTTGCTGAGCTAGGACGTCTGCCGTAAATTTGCTTTCATCGCTGAGAAAAGATAATATTTTACATTTATAAACCGACTTATTCATGATAACAACTCCTAATGCATTGTCGAGATTAAGTATGATTATATAAGGATTACTTCGCAACGTTTTTAATGCTTTGAAATGCAGAGAAGTTAAGATACTTCCATGTCTCAGATGCGGATTACGGAACTGGTGAGCAATACCACCAATTTAGCTTTGAGCCAACTCTGATTATCTGTAGAATTCGGAACAAGTGAGCTTAGCAGATCATAAACATTTTAAAACTGGGCATCGGTCAATGAATTTGAAATTTGTGTTAGAGGGAAAGAAAACTAAATCCAGACGAAAGTGCTTCCTTCTGTTGAACAGATAGCTGGACCGAATATCAGTCACGAATCTGTCAGGTTCCACTGGAAAAGGATTTGTGTAGTCAATGAACTGAGATTTGTTTAAATCATTCCTAGTCTTTTCTTTACGCTTGATGATGACAGAACTATAAAAGTTAATGAACGTGATGTAACAAATTAAAGAAATGTCTGCCAGCACGGATGATGCTTACACATGAAGTCCAATCAGTGTAAGAGCTTTTCTTACGAATTCTCCATATGAGATTTAGCAAGTTGAATGAGATTTGGATTATTTGGATGCAATTTACTAGGATGCAAAGTTTTATGGGGAATGTATGACTGGAAATGCAAGATTTGCTAAAGTCCAACGTGTCTCTTTCACATGAGACTTTAAACTTCAGGCTAGCCGACTCACCTAACATTTTAACAGTGTCTTGGGGTAGTCTTGTTCTAAGAAACTTGAAACAATTAGTCCTCTTGATAAATTTTAACTATCTGCCTCAGTTGTATTAAGTTCAACTCTTTATACTAATAGTGGAGGTGACTCAACTTTTTATTATATTTCTCCTCTCTTGCTTTTGTTCTGGCCTTGTTATATTTCTTAATTATAACTCCACTGGCTTAATTAACTTCTCTGAGTTTTATATAAATTATTCAACAAGTGTATGTGTGATCAGGTTGTTCGAAATGTATAGCGCTAATACATTATATGTTTCAGATAATCACCGTCTCCTCATTACGTTGTTCAACAGATTGTTTCATAATTGATAGTTTGTGTAGAAGTAACTAGGACGAAGAGAAGAGAAAAAGAATTATGTCAAGTGGTCATCTCTTGACAATAATTAGAGACAAGAGGGGAAGACCAAGATGACTAAACTGTAACAATAGTAATTTCAAACGTTTGTGGAATGAATGAATGGGAGGGTGATTACTAAAATCGAAGTAACCTTACGTTTACATACTCACTGTCATCTTGCTACATGTGACTGATCACGATATGGTGAGGAATATAAACATCAGATAACTTTGATTATGGTAATCATAAGTTACTTACTGTATTGGAACTTGCGTAGTTTGTACCAATTCTTTCATTATCTCAATGGAGTATCTTCTTGTGTGGATTGTATTTCACTCCATATATGTCTTAAGATTTTATAGCCTGCATGCGGTTAAAAAGAAGGAGATGAAATACAACGAATCCATCGTATCCTGCAAAGTGTTTCAACTTTATTTCATAAGTTGAACGAATCTTATTTGTTTAAATAGCACGAATCACATGGTTGTTTATGCATCCAACGCGAAATGGAGTTGATTTTCTACACGACATGTGAACGATGTTTTTCTCAGTTCTCTGTTCAACACGCTTGTATTCAGAAGAATCCCAGAACCTGTCTGCATTTTGTATATGCTGTTTTCCGCTCAACAACAAACAAATTTTGAGTTACGCAACAGCTACGTTATCTCCGTCTTGAGTTAATAATTCAAACTGACCAAAGCATGGAACAAAATTATTAATTCGTAAGCAGTAATGTGGTAGACATGCTCTAAGATCTAAAAAAAAGCGATGCAATATTGACCGGAGTGCGTTTCGGCAACAACTATTACTTATAATTATGTCTATGTTATCACATGACTTTTTGAATAATTTTCAATGGTTTTGGTGCTTTTCTTTTTCTCATTTTACTGGAAGTAGGACTGGTGTTAAGTAATTTTTACTGAGTGTTATTTGTTGATTAGTTCAACAAATAATCACCAAACAACCTCTTTCTCCGCATATCTATATGAAACTTTAAAACTCTACCCTCTTTTCATCCTACTGTGTAGTTTGTTTAAAGGATAACAGTATCTGAATACTTTTTTAGCTACTTAACTTGGTGGGGTCTATCATTCTGAATTTAACTTGGATCTAATGCTTTGCATCAGAACTCGTAAGATAAAGAGCATACATTACCTAGTGCCTGCGTTACTCTAAAAAATGAGGTGTAGCTGGAAAAAGTATTTAGAGTAGGAGTTCTGAAAGAAAAACACAAAAATATTGTAAGGAAATAGAAAAATAAGAGGGACAAACGAAACCTGGGAATGACCTATGTTGAAAGTAGAATATATCATTCGTGTGGAATACCCTGATTACAAGATTTTAATGTTATCATCATTCCTTGAGGTTTTTGGATAAACAATCCTCCCTAGTCTTATTCTCTACATAACAAATTTAATATAAACACCAAATCTCACAAATGTAAAATGATTTGAAGTAACTGAATGCTAATTATAAAAGGTGATCATTTTGGCCACGCTTATTTGAATCCACTCACCGTTGAAGTTTCAAAGCGGAATTCACTTAAGCATTCATCAGTAAGATATTATGGCAAACATGGTTCAGATAAGCTGTTAAAAACCAAGAAAGAGATAATTTCAACAGCCAACTCCAAAGAATTTCGCTTCAATATGCAATGAAATCCCTTAATTAACAACAACAAAAAAAAGAAAACACTAACTCCAAACACAACTGAAAACAGAACGAAGCACAAATGATTAGGACATCTTAAAAAACAATATCCACTACACTGAAATAAATGACAACACAGAATTAAATCTGCAAGACAAAAATAAATTAACAGTAGCCTATATATTACCGTGCTAGGCTGTGGAACTATAGATATCGTATATTCATAGATGATGCACAATACAAGGTAGTCTCAGTCAAAGTAGGTGGCGAAAGAACTCACAATGAATGTGCGTCAGAAGTTGCAAACCACGTAACTGCCTGTAACAGTGGATTTAAAATGCAGAAAGAAATGTGAATATATACCATGAGTATTTATGTCAGTTAAAAAAAATAAATGATTATTTGAAAGATGAATTATTCAACAAAAGTTTAAGAAACAGAGAACATTGAAAGTCAAGAAATTAGAAAGACTTAACAATGAAAATTTACATGAAATGGTTTTTTTTTAGCTTATGAATAACACCCCTTATCCCTACCACCCTAATTAACCTGCCAAACAAAGAAAAGTACTTTTCATTTATAAAGGAGAACTTAAATGAATAGTATGACCTAATAAAAACGTTCAGCTAATATATTTAGTGATGCAAAAGAAGAAGGGATGTGGGAATAAAATCAAATATCAAATAATACAACCGGTCATCGAATAAATGTATTCCTGTCAAAAGTAAAAATATATTTAAGACTTAAATGATAGTTATTCATATTCATTCACGAATGTACTCAATGAAATAAGTATAAAAGTGTGAATTATCGATAAATCTCTTGTTGAGCAACGGAAAATGTCTGCGCGTTCACAACGGTGACCAAATATTACCGAATACATCAGGAAGGTCACACGCCTTATCTAAAATCCACGGTTGATCTAGAAAAAATCATAAGTAAAACAACGGCATATATGAATGCTATGTAACAACATTGATACAATTCAGTGTATTGACTATTTCTAATGGAAACTTAATTACTTTGTAAAGGTAGGACAGTTTTCCAGTGGACAGCTGTATTTTGGCAGGTAATTAGTAAAATAATATTCAGGTGGATAATGGATTACAATATCACTGCTTATCCGCTAGTAAAAGAAATCCCGATATAAAGTACGTCTTCAGTTGCAGCATGACCAGGTAATTCAAAGAAAATAGTTTCAGATGAACTTCTAAATTAGAAGATATATAGGCGAACAATATTGTTTCCGATTAGCTCCCATCAGGCTTTACGTTCATATATAAAACAAACCAATCATGGTGGATTATTTAGTCTGTGGTAACTGGTAGATGAAGCATACAAATAGCAGATATCTAGACAATCATAATAATAATGGCAATAATAATAATTATTATTATCTCAATGACGATAAGAATAGTAGGAACTTCAAACATTCAGACAATGTCAATCAAAACTTAGGAAAACAAAAGCTACGTAATACTAAAGGATGTAATGTGTAGATAATCAAAGTCTAAACAAATTAGTAAACATATGTGAAAGAGGTGATGAAAGGGGAAGAAGATGAAAATTGAATTTATCTTTGGAGTTATTTACTAGGTTTTCTCTGGTCAAGGCAGAGAAAAGAGCTCCACAAACTTTTTCTGTACAGAAAAGACTGAGTTTGTTTTCTCTAATTTCCATAGCATCAGCTATATGTAAAATGCGAGTCTGAATTCTATTCGAAAGATTTTGTGGAATGTGATAGATGATCCTGAACGCTGTGGTTCTATCTATTACACGGCTGCTGTCAACCAAATGTGGCAGAATTGAACTTCGCATTGACTTCACTTGTCCCTTTCCTAGCCATGATGGTGCTGAACAATATGCTTGTTAGGCTCCCTAGTTGTATCCCAATATAGCTTTCTCCACAGGAGCAGCTGAATTGATAAATGCACATAGAAGTGGCAGAACTAGGCAGCTTGTCTTTTGTCTAGGCAACAATTATCAGCCGACTAGAAAGTGACAAGCAGAGGTTAGCAGCATAAAAGGTTCTACTGATGGCTGTAGACAGCCTGTGGAATAGAACTTCACTGGGTGTGTCCCCTTTGAATTGGAGTTTCATGAATATTGTTTTTTTTGAACAAGCATTTGATCAGATTTCCTACTTATTTTGTTCATGTGTCTCTTGATAAAACTATGTGGGTAACCCATTTCTGGCAGCATACTATGGATGTGTTCTAACTCCTTTTGTATCAAGTCATCTCAGCAGATCATACTGGCTCTGTTTGTAAGACGTTTAGTTACACTTATTTTATATCGGGTGGTCATAAAGCTAAGGAAATGTATGTACTGACCCGTAGATGTGATCTTTCTGTACACCCTTCTACCAAGTGACCCATCTCCTCTCCTACTCAATAGGACATTTAAAAAGTGTAGCGTATTTTCTTGTTCTTCTTCACAACTGAAAATCAGAGAAGGATGCACGCCATTGAATTTTCTCAACATTTCGTTTTTGTAGACGTTCTCGTCAATGATGATGAGTGTTGTCTATATATCGTTTATACATATGCAGGCTATCGATAACACCTTTCAGTGGTCCATTCTCCAGTTTAGCAAGAAAAAAATCAGCTAATACTGAACCTAATTGTGAACCTATGGCAATTCCATCAACTTGCCTGTAATATGTATGATTAAAAAGAAATCCACATTCATGATGCATCGCAGAAGTAATTGTTTGAGACTATTTTCTCGAAGTCCAACATTATTCTGTGCTTCTAATACCTACTGACAAATGAAATCTACTGTTTCGAGAAGTGGTACATTGGTGAATAAAGAAACAATATCTAGAGATACTATATGTTTCCCGCTCATATTCAAGTTTTGTAAATTGGAGATGAAGTCGAATACATCTTTGACACTATTCTTAGCAACGTATTTGTCAAGGGGTTGTAGAACTCCATTTCAGTCTGTTTATTAGAAATATCACACAGTGAAACAGCAGCACTTACTGGATAACTTTTCGGATACAATTTATTGTCCATATTCATATAATATGTTTTACTGTGTGATATTTCTAATAAACAGACTAAAATGGAATTACACTCGACCACAGTGCCCAAGTTGTAGAACTCCGACTGGCGACTTCGCGATTTTATGGTGACGGGAATTATTTGAAGTACCACGCTGTTTCAACTATTACTGCCATTATTACTATGGTTATCTAGATATCTGCTATTTGTATGCTTCATCTACCAGTTTACCATGATTGATTTAATGTTTTATATATGAGAAAATCTATATATATGAGCGTAAAACCTAATGGGAGCTAATCGGAAACAATGATCCTCTTATAATCTTGACAATGGGAATTTCTAATATGCCTTTTTTACAAAGATTTACAGTGTAACAAAATTTACGTTTAGTGTGTAAATTCTAAGCCACCTTAGACTGAAGTATACTTAGCTATCGCCTATCTCAACATGCCTTGCTAGCAGAGGTTGAATTAGGTTGCAAGAGGATTCACAGTAACCAAGCCAACATGTCGCACCAGACCATGAAGTCTCTGACTGTTGGGCTAAACCAACTAGGGAGATGTAAACTGCCTAACCGGCGTTACTGAAATGATTGGTAGTTGAGAAATCTTGGTGACATGACTGGAAATCGGTCACAATAACGAAGATGAATTCACTCTTTGGCATCTTATAAAGCTTCATCATTTGCACTTACCTTTATCCTCAGATTCTCTATTCTCTTATACTACTTTATCTACCTCGGTATCACTTTTTTTCTATCCACTTGTTCTTTGTTTACTACTATGAAGTGTGATAACTTGAACCGATGGACTTGTGTAGGAGGGTCTTACATTAATTATGTCTGTCTTTTGTCTGCCTGAACCATTCGAGTAGGTAGAATTTTAATGAACATACATTACTAAACCTTCATACGATACACGTACTTAACAGTCAAGACGCTATCCGCATGGACTCAACCTTAAACTAAGAATGGAATCATAAATGAATAGCAAATAATTCTAATTTCTTTCCTTACATGTAAGTGTTTTAATCATTCAGGAAAAATTCACGAAATGTAGGGCTCAATAGGAACAGCAGCAGAAAAAAAACAATATACCTTCTGAACGGTATTGCACAGGTGGTAATTCATATGGAACTGGGAACGGTGGTAATTCTTGAGGGATTGATAAATAAGGCCGTTTTAGGCTACTGTTTAAAACCTGAAATGACTGAGCAGATTCCTGAAATCATGGAATGGATAGTGAAATGAGTAAGTGTACGAAATAAATATATATAGAAGTATTTCATTCCTCTATAAGTATATATATATATATATATATATATATATATATATATATATATATATATATATTAAATTTCAAAGACAAACGAAACTTCATTATTACTACTTGAATGTATTAAATAACAGATGTACGCAGTATACAAAGTCAGGACGGCGAAATAGAACGTAAAGCTGTTATCCTTTGAAACAAGACCGTTAAAGCATTATTATAACGAAACTGTATTCGGATGATTCAGAAAATAATGGTTTATGTTACAAAGAAAACCGGAAATCAACACGTGTGTATTCCCCAGAAGCATTAACTTTCTCAAGGAATCTGCTTATTTCTCATTTAAAGCATAAAAATATAAAACTCATTCAGTTCATGTACGTTATCAAGAAAACCCGAACCCAAATGAAAAAATTTAAATGTATTCACTTAGCAGATACTCTCTTAGTCACTTAGCTTGGAACATGGTACATACTCATTTTGATTTCAGAAATCAAGAATAAAACTACACAGCTTAGAATGACAACTATGCACATGTCAACGATAGACAATTATCAAAACGGTAAGATCACTCTACGTGTATCCTAACTTTCGCATAATCTTATCTAAGTTTGTGAAGGTAAGCAAACAACAGGGAGAAGGTAATTAATGTGTGCTCAACACTTACTTATATGTTTCAACTAACAAATAAATACTTTGTAAAAACTGATCGCTTCGGAAACGAATATATGATTTTAGTCTAATCGATACCATTTCAGTATGACGAAAATTACACAAGATGTTATTTCTGACGCGATTTTGAAGTCATTTGGATGATTAAGTGCAGCTATTCTGGCGAAACTGATGCCAGTGATCCTTCCCATAGATATCTATATCATGCGATGAAGACGCCATCATAAGAACATTTTTCAGGTGTTATATAAATACTGCAGTCTCAATGACAATTCTGCTTAATTGTATTGTTAGGATTTAAATTGGTGGCTTGTAGTAGTTGAGTGATTTATGGCCTGCTTGAAATCTGGGCTACCGCTTTCTATCACCGAGTATATTGCATCAAATTTCTTATTTCTATATTGTTTTAATCGTTTAATTATGTCAACCAATCGTATTGTATATTCTCGCGCGTTTTTAAAATCATTACAACCTATCGCTTCGCAAGTTGATAGGAAATTTAAGAAGAAGCACCACGGTGGATGGCAACGAGCTCTGAAGCGTATGACCATAGATCAAATGACTATTCCGGAAATACTTAGCACAAACTGCAGGTCGTTGCCGAATAAAGTTGATTACCTTCAGTCACTCTTGTCCACAAATGTTTATCGAAACACGGGTGTAATAATGCTGCAGGAAACATGGCTTCATAATCTGTATGATGATGACTTAGTCTGCTTAGATGGTTTCAAATTATTTCGACAAGATCGAAGCTTTTCGAAGAAGAAATGTGGTGGTGGTGTAGCAACATTTATTAGTACTAACTGGTCGTCCTCCAACTATGTATGCTTCTGCTTCTCTAACGAAAAAATTGAGTGCATTACCATCAAATGTCGTCCCAAACATTTGAGCAAATACAAATACATATATATCACAAACATGTATGTCACACCTGACTGCAGTTTCTCAGATTTGTCAACTTTTGCTGATAAATTCACTGAATTTGCTGCTCCGGTTCTGGGAAACTCCTTGTCTATTGTCTGTGGTGATTTTAACTCATGTGACTACAGTTTTCTATTATCATTGGGTCATAAAAATATGGTTAACTTTTCCACTCGTCTTGACAACACTCTAGACTTTGCATTTACAAATGAACCTGGCATATATGAAGCCCGTAAACGGGCTCCACTGCTAAATTCCGACCACTGTATCGTTCGTGTTTTGCCTAAAGTGTACGGAAAATTATACAAGAAAGCTTTTGCATACCTTTCAAGGAAAGTTCAATACAGATGCTATTCACAAGAAAATATATTACGTTTGAGAAGCATGCTTATAGAAACGGACTGGGATATATTTGCTGATGAAGTTTTAGACAACACTATTACCAATATCACAAGCTATCTCAGATTCTGTCTCGATATCTGCTGCCCTACTGAAACAATTTACATGAGATTTGACAGACTTTCCTCTCCTCATCTCAAGAGGCTTCGGAGAGAAAAGGAAAGGTTGTATAAGGCGAGAGATCACCCTGGCGTTAAAAGGCTTAACTGCCTAATTAAGTCTGAAATACAACGTCTGAATACTATATACAACAAGTTCTTATCGTGTAAGAACTCTTCCAATATATGGAAATTATTTAAAGAGCTTACTGGTAAAAAACAGATGACAACACAAACTCGTTCGGATGTCTGCGCGTTAAACAAGTCATTTATACGTCGGCAAGCTAATTTCACCCTTCCTAATGTGCAAAATCAAGTGGATAGCTGCTTTCCAGGTTTCAATACAAATGATGTATTTAAATGTCTAAAGTCTTTGAATCCCTCCCAAAGCTTAGGTCCTGATGGTTTTTTTTTCTAGATATTTAGAAAATGTGCAGATATTTTGTGTCATCCACTTACAGATATCTTCAATGTATCGTTCTCTAAAAACATAATACCCACTGCTTGGAAGCAGATAAAAATTGTACCTGTGCCTAAGCCATCTTCTGGATCAGATGTTACTTTTCGACCCATCGCTATAACTTCCCCTTTTCTGAAGACAATGGAGAAATTACTTCTGCTTGTGATTGAGCCTTCATTGATGGCCTTCAGAGATCCAAAACAGTTTGCTTACAAACACCGGAGGAGTACTTTAGATGCAGCTACTGTCTTGCATCATAATATTGTTTCTAGTCTCGACAAAGGTGTTAAGTATGTCCGTTGTGCCTTTTTGGATTACTCATCAGCCTTTGACTCTGTTCCTAGACCACTTTTGTTAAATAAGCTTGCCATAGCTCACACTGATCCATGGGTTACAAAATGGCTGCATTCTTATTTTTCTGAAAGGAAACAGTACACTATTCATAAAGGATGCGCTCCACTTCATTGCTTACTGAAGCTGGTGTGCCTCAAGGTGCTGTACTTTCTCCTTTTCTGTTTTCCTTTTTTTGCACGATTTGCCTTATTCTGTTGAAACTAATTTTATCAAGTATGCTGACGACCTGACGATTTCTATTCCAGTAAACTCTTCTTTGGATTGCTCGAAATTAAATGAATTCTTGTCTGAAGTTGGTAAATGGTCTCTTTTTTTTTTTTTTAAACTAAACCCCTTTTTTTATCTAACTGTTAATTTTAGCCTCAGGCGTAAACAAGACTTATGTGAGCTGCTTAAATCTCATGACGCCTGCTGCATCAATGGTATTTCTGCAGAAAGTAAATCGAGTGTGAACTATCTTGGGTTGCGTTTTACTTCTGACCTTTGTTGGTCGTCCCATATTTTATTGACTTGTAAAAAAATCTTTCGTTTAACTTATTACGTAAAGAAATTGAGGCTTTCTGGTATAACTCAACTGCTTCTTTTACAATTTATTAATTCCTGCATTTTACCTATTCTTCTATATTGTTCCCCATTAATCTTTCCTGGTCTTCTTAAAAAGGACTATGTTATGTTGCGTAGGGCTTTGAAGACCGTCAGCAGGGTGAGTGGTGTGTCTCTGGCTCAACTGATTAACACTGTAGTTGATCGACATATAAATTCCTGCAAGCTACTAGCTACAGAAATTTTAACTGACAGTGAGCATCCACTTCATTTACAGCTCTCTCCATGTATCTCCTCAGGGAGGACAAGGAGAAACTACATAAGACTGTATGCTCGTACAGCTAAGTATAAGAATTCGACTGTACCTTACCTTGCACGTATATTTTGTGAGGAAAAAAGTGTTAGAACAGAAATCACACATCAACTTTGTGACAGTTAAAAATCTCATTTCAATAATTTAACTTACAATGCAAAATTTTCTCGTTTTTAATATTCTTCACATAACTTAAATTTTTATAATAAAACAATTCGAAAGGCTGCAAAGTAGTATGTATATACTTATATTTTGTTGTTATTGCAATATATATTACGCTGAGAATTCCAAATTGTACCACAAATTGTTTGGAATAAAGTGAATTATTATTATTATTATTATTATTATTATTATTATTATTATTATTATTAATCACGGTTTGATATCAGTCACGGACCTCCTGGTTGATAACACGGGAGTGCATATTGCTGATGAGTTTCACACTGAGATAAAACAGCTGTCTAATACCCCTAGAATCTGAATGTTTCTTCAACTGATGTCAGTAGATGATTGAAGTGACATTGAAGTTGAAAAGGTTACCCGGAAACACTGTTTTCACTGACAATGAACTATTGTGTAGTTTAGACATCGTCAGTTATCTCCAGGTTAACTCAGAAGCGGTTCACATACATTATGCTTGTAAAGTCTCGTCTTAAGAAATTTATTTAAAATGATGAATTTATTACTTGAAATTCTCAGCATTGTACTTCAAAGGACATAAAGTCAGATTTCATGGCATTATGTTAAATTAGTAACTCAAAACTTAACATCACTGGATGAACGGGAAAGTTTGATTACATAACAAATCAAAGTTGAAATGGTTGACCGATAGCAATCTTGAGGTAAAAAGTGTCCATCTTCAACATTAGGATACAGGTTAACATTAATCTGAACTTGACTAATTTGCAAAAGGCAAAACCTGCAGGGTTTTGCAATCATAGCAACCTCATAGCTACTAGAAATGAATATATTAAAGTGGAACAAAATTCCAATCACTAACCATATAATTCATGGGTAAAAATAGAACGCCTAATTCATAGGAACGAATCATCAGTTGACTTCCTGATTTTTCATAAGCACCCCAAGCAGCTTTAGACAGATTGGCACTACAATTTCCAAAAATAAAATAACAAAAGCAACAATGAAGATTCGTCGGAAATTAAGTTTCTGAATAACTCCAAACCTCTGTGAGAATCGGAGAATTCATGATAGAGTTGATAAAATAACGTTTCAAAATGCACAAATACTGCTGCGAATTTCTTCACCGTCTTCGAAGTTTAAGGGTTATCATCTAAAAACTCCCGAACTGAAGGATTCATCAATTTTTACATTTTCAGTGGAAACATTTAGAGTTAGTTAGGATGGTGAAGTAATTAAGTTTTAGGATAATATTAGATTCCAGACAGAACATTCGTTTACATCAACTGGTCTCTTTCATAATTTTTAAAAGCGTAATGAGAAGACAAAGATTACCTGAAATATGTGACGTATTAGCGTTATACATTTCTAACAATCTCATCATACGTGGACTTGTCGAACCATTTTTATGACAATTTACGGGAAGGGTCAATTGAGTCAATACGAAACATAAGAATAGAAAGGGTAGACAAAAAAAATTAACGGATGCCAAGAGCTCAGAATAACACCATCAAAAAACACGACGTAAATTTTGTATTCCATAACCTAGCTTAGTAATACATGGTCAAGACATTTGACAAAGGATCGTTAGGGGAATTATTCAGCTACTAAATAAATTTCCAGTTAGGGTTAGCTCACCTAGTTAGAAGAAACCATGCTATCTCCCGTCCATTAGGAGATATTCTAGCATAGGATTTAATATGAGGAGCAGCTCGACTGAATCTAAATGCTTGCCAACGATGTAAGAACTGATGAAGCCATGGTTGTTTTACAGCTACTGCCTTCGTATACGGCAAACATCCACCAGCAAAATAACCCTGCAGGCTATTACGAACATCTTCGACACAAGGATAAATCTATCAACGATGGAAGAAAATAAATACAGACTAGTACATAAATGACACAAACAAATGAGCAGCAACAACGAACAGACAAAAATAAAGAGATACATACTCAATTTTCAGTCCTTATACTATAAAAGTTTTCGGCTCCGAATGATAACAGATGGATTAAAAAAGTTATATAGCCTTGACTGAGAAGTTACTTTTTTAAATCATTCACACAATTAGATCTAGGTATTTTTATTTGAACTAGACGCCCTACAATAAAAATGATCTATCCTGAGTCAGCCTTTATTTAACACATCACCATCCTCTACCGTCAACCCTTAATGATGTAACTGTTTTTTAGTTATCTGAACCTGAGATAACTGAAATGATATAAGGATATTCAAATGTGAGCTCCTACTTCTTACAGCTACTTGCCAGAATTCATGAACAACAATAATGTGGGCTAGATAATCTAGAGAAAAACGAGGAATTCTACAGACAACTTCAATCAACACTGGACAAGACCTCAGTTGGCGATATCAAAATTCTAATGGGCAACATGAATGCTAAACTCGGAGCAAACAACACGGGAAGAGAACTAACCATGGGTCGAGAAGCGCTCGGTGAGGTGATGAACGAGAATGGAGAATTGTTTGCAGAATTCTGTGCATTCAACGATTTGGTGATTGGAGTCAGGCAGTGTGTTCAAGCACAAGGATATCCACAAAGCGAGCGACATGGATTTCACCAGACACCAGGACACTAAAAATCAGATCGACTTGATGTCAATGTGAAGAAAGTGGAAACACAGTCTACTTGACACAAGATCAAGAAGAGGAGCAGATGTAGGTTCAGACCACTGTCTAGTGCAGAAGATAAGGAATGGATCTCAATGGATACATGGAAGCTGATAAAGGAGGAAGAGGAGGATGGTGAAGCAGAAGATAAACCAGTGCAAGGATGCTCAACGACAAGAGGAACTGAGTGCAATGTACAAAACACTACACTGGACAAAGAAGTGAAGAAGAGTGCACGCAAAGACAAAATACACTTCTATGACACACTGGCAAGTGAAGCAGAACAGGCTGCCGGCTGGTAGGAGAGAAAGAAACCTGACAACATTGTATCAAATAACCAGGTTACTATCTGCGATGGAAGAGATCAACGCAGACGAAACCAATAAAAGGTGATGAGGGAAATTTAATTACGAAAGAAGAGAAGCAAAGGAAAAGATGGGCCGACCACTTCAAGAAGCTCTTGAATCGACCACCACCACCACCACCACCTGCACTTCGTCCAGAAATATCACCTACAGCCCAGCTACAGAACTACAAGTGAACATAAATCCTCCAACAAAAGTGGAAGTCCTGAGCGACATAAAGCTACTGAAATGAGAGAAAGCAGCAGGATCAGATGGAATCCCGCCAGAAGCACTGAAAACAGACGCAGAGACAACAGCAGACATGCTCACACCACACCACTACTGCAGAAGGTTTCCAAGGAAGGGAAGGTACCTGCCAGTTGATTGGAAGAAGGATTTGCAAAAACTGGGGAGGAATCATGCTCCTTTCCCTGTCCATCCCAAGCAAAATAATATGCCGCATCATCCTGGAGAGACTAAAAGATGATCTGGATTCAAAAATACGACCAGAACAGCCTGGCTGGCTGAATTCAGGAAGAACAAATCATGTGCAGACCAAATTGCAACGCTACGCCACACATCATCATAGAACAGAGTATAGAATGGCAATCAGCTCTCTACCTCACCTCAACTTCATCGACTTTGAGAAGGCCTTTGACAGCGTCGACCGAGAAGTAATTCGGAAACTGCTTCATTACTACGGAGTACCGCAAACCTTTATCAGCCTCATTCAACAACTATATGAAGACGCCACATGCCGAGTAATTCACAGTGGGAAGCTCAGTGATGCCTTTGAAGTGAAGTGAAGTGAAGACAGGAGTGAAACAAGGCTGCCTACTATCCCCCATGATATTCCTGATTGTGGTCGACTGGATCATGCAGCAAACAGTAGGCAGCGAGAAGAGGGGGATACACTGGACTGCGGAAAAGAACCTAGAAGACTTGGATTTCGCCAGTGATGACTTGTGCCTGATGTCACATAAACTTGAAGATCTGCGGGCAAAAACTAACAAGTTGACAGAAGAGGCGAGGCAGGGCAGGAAAGACAGGACTTCAAGTGAATATAGAGAAGACAGAGGTGATGAAGATTCCGCACCAACAACTCCAACAACAACAACAAACTCCAATCACCATCAACGGGAGGAACTTAAAGGAAGTAACCTCCTTCACCTATCTAGGCAGCACTGTTTCAACTACAGGCAGCGGTGGCACAGACGAGGATGTCAAAGTCAGAATCGGAAAAGCAAGACAGGCGCTCATTAGCCTGAAACCAGCGTGGAGATCTTCTACACTCAGCATGTGGAACAACATCCGGATTTTCAACACCAACGTCAAGTCAGTGCTTCTGTATGGTTCAGAGACTTGGCGCGTCACGAAAGGGATTTCCAACAAACTACAGACATTCATCAACAACTGCCTACACTGGCTCACTACTGAAGATCAGATGGCCAGAATAATATGAATAAGCAACAAGGAGCTCTGGGAACGAACCAACCAAGAACCTATCACCCAACAAATATGCAGTGGAAGGAAGTGGAGATGGATTGGGCATACACTGAGAAGGCCGACTGGGGACATCACGCGTCAGGCCCTCGAGTGGAACCCAAATGAGAAGCGAAGAGTTGGACGTCCGAGGGTGACATGGAGGAGATCGTGCGAGGAGGAAATGATAGCTTCTGGGCTGCCGTGGGGCCAGGTTCAAAAGATTTCAGAAAACAGAGTTCACTGGAGACGTGCTACTGAAGCCCTATGTTCCATTAGGAACCCAAGGGAACAATAATAATAATAGATAATCTAGATACAAAGAAGTCCTCAAACACATCTTACATCTGAGTAGTTAATCACCACTCCTTATAAAAATCGATTGGGTTTCCGCTGCCAATTCACTAGTCAAAATCATATATTGACCGAAACCGGTTTAAAATCATACTGAACAGTATTCGTACCCATCAGTAACCTTCGGTTTCGAAATGAGTACAAAAACCAGCAACCGATTAGATATTTAGCAACTAATTTGTGGCTTAGTAATATTGACACTCGGTGATGACTGAAGGCGAAGTGAAAATGTAGGCCATGAAGGGATTTGAACCAGACACGACAACGTTTCCGACCTGGTGCTCTACCAACTAAGCTACGAGATTTAATGGCTGGTCGGATTTTTTACTTCACTTCAATCACTAAGGGTTTTGCCGATTTATATCAGGATGAGAAGTCCTAACTGAACGGTCAGTCGGGCAAAGTCCTTAATGATTGAAGTGAAATAAAAGATCTAATCAGCAATCTGATCCCGTAACTCAATTGACAGAGCACCCGGTCGGAAACCCAGTAGTTGCTGGTTCGAATCCCGCCACGGTCCATATTTTCATTTCACCTTCAATCACCACCCAGTATCAATACAAATCTCCCAAACCAAGACTATCTTAAATAGTCGGACTGAAACTTAGTAATATTACCGATTCATTTTATTTACTATTTCCAATTGACAGTCAATCCTAAGGAAAACAGGCATGCTGCTGATGAAACAGCTCCAAAAGGATGTCACAAGCTTCCTCTTTTTCAGATCAGTTTCATACACTTCGCGAACCCAACAAACCAATAAGTGTGTAGCTAAGTACTTATTTCATGAACCGAAGTAACTGATAAACGTTTACCCATCATAATGAAATTGTATCTTGTTTTTCACTAATATTTCCAAACGCCAGATGAACTGGTAGAAAACAGTTGTATTTAGTAAAGCGTCTATCCAGCCCTAAATGTATTTATGAACTCATTACAATCGTCTCGATTACGAAATCAGGCTGAAAGACAACCCTATAATACAGCTGTTTTCTAACACACTAAACTGCATTCATTATTGGGTTTACTTCAACTTCAATATCGTAAGTAAAGTGTACAAGTAGAATAAAATGGAAACTTGATGGTGACTAGTGATCAAAAAACTTCCAACCCGAATATGAACACGATAATAATAATAATAACAATAATCATAATAATAGTCTAGAAACTATAGTAAGATAAAGCATAAATATATGCACTGTTCACCATTCTTAAGCCCCTAGCACCACGACCAGCTAAGCTGGAAGACCACTCTGTAGTAAACCAAGCCGCAGGCTGAACACCTAGAGAACCAATACTCGAAAATTGCCCGATCAATGGCCAAGATGAAGGGATCTGACTATTACGGGTATGTAATACCTGAAAGAGAAAAAACTTTGAATGCAGTAGCATGCATCTACGATAGGATTTATAGCACAATAGTTTGCTCAGTAAACAAACATACATTACTAACTATAACAAAATCTTACTAGTTTCCCATTCGCGAACACAGTGTAGTAAAATGCCTAGAAGCCCATACTCAAATGTTTATGAATGCTAGAACTCCAGTATACCAAAAATATTTTATTATCATCTGCTGCTTCTTTGCTATAAAATTCATGTCATTAGATGCATGATGGCAATCCAAATGTTAATTCTTTCTGTGATTCATTTGAAATAACTTCCATTTAGACAATATACAAAATAACTTCAGAGTTTACTAAACCACTAAAGATTATATGGGTTTCGAACAGATGTGAGATGCATCACTATATCGTAAAAATTCTGACTCTGAAACTCCATCGGTTTGGTGGCACACATTAAACTCCGACCCAATGGCTGAATGGTTAACACGTCCGCCATGAAATCTCAAGGTCCCAGGTTCGATCCCCGGCAGAGTTGTAAGTACGTATTCCCAAGGAGTCCCATAATTTGAAAAAAAACTGTTCACATCTTCCAGGTTCTGCACCTGATGTCAGTTCGTGATGAATACCGAACTACTGAGTTGCAAGTATAAACAGTCAGACCTAATCATGACTAAATTTCACAAAAATGCTTTCGGGTATTGCAAAGAATTAGTGACTCGATTCATCAAACACTTTTACAGTTCATATCATTTGACTTTCCAATCAGTCTAGAAGTTAGTACACTTTGTACTTCACAACGAATAGAAAACTTATATATTAAATCATCTATACATTCTATAGGCTGCACAGAGAAAGGATAAAAAGAACTCATAACAAAGTAAATAACCATACCTGTCCTAAACGCGGATGACCAAATTTCTTCAATTTTTCGCCAGTATGTCTTCCAGGAACCGATGCGATTAAAACGACCCTAAAGCATGGATGCCAAAACAAACAACAGATCACTGACACGCCGACATAAACTATTTCGTACAAGCTGCTAATGAATACAATATCAAAAATTTTACAAGTGGCTGATGTTTCTGCACATGACATATTTCGATTTTCATTACATCTCAGATTTACATGTCTTCTTAATATTGTAAAGTGATCTACTTCCCTTTCGATTTAGCTTTAATGGAGCTTCATTTTAAGGATAGGCAATGAAAGTGGTAGAATCCATTGACCGATTCACTTAATCGGGAACACAGTATAATCAATTTTTTGAGAGTTCTGAAAGAAAGGGGTAAAATATCTCTTTTCTGCAAGAAAATTAATACATGAACTTAGGAGTCTTTCGGAAGTTCAGAAAATACTGAATACAACTGAGATAAACTACAAACACACAAAATCCTCTGAATTATATGACTGAAAATGTCTACCAAAGTTTTTAGGACAGAAAAGAAGGTTGACATAAGAGTAAAGGATCATTGATTTATTTGCTACTCTGATTCAATTAAAGATTATACAAGATAATGTTATCTCAAGACGAACTTGTTAACTACAAACTCTCCACTCACATAAACAATTGGTTACATGTATGAGGTAATCGATAAAGGAAAGATTGCCATTATTATTATAATCAACTGCTTAAGCAGCTAATGTTAAGATGTGCTTAAGAAGTACACTTCTTATTTAACTTTAGCATAGGGTCAATATATGCGCTATGCACTAATTCCACTACTTATAGGCTTTTATGACTGAAAGGGAAATGAATAAAACGAAAACGAGCATACAACAGCTGGATATACATAATGTAGCCTTATGGGAGATATATTACTAATACGTGAAAAAATGGAAGATTAACTAGTAAATTTCAAAAGAGCTAACAAATGATTAGTCACACATGAGCT